TACTGATCAAATATTTTCTTTACTAAAAGTTTACTTTTTAAAATTTTACTCAGCATAAATTCAGCGTGAAAAGTTGTAAATAAATTTACGCTTGAAAGAACATAACCCTATTTATTAGTAAAGTTTGCAAAAAAAAAGCTAAAGTTAAAAATTAAAGTTTGACAGATGCTTCTAAACTTTAAAAAAAAAAAAAAGCAAATACAGTTACAACGAAAGTCAATTTATATAAATGTCTCAGAAGCAGTAAAATTACTGAATTGGAACCTATATAAAAAACATTCACAGAGGCAGAACTACAAATTTGGCACTCTTTACAAACAAATGACAGAAATTTTTTTTCAGTTTACGAATGAAGAGTAAAATGTTTCGTTTATAGACGTCAAACCTAAGATCTTCCCGCTTAATAACACCAATTGCCACAATACAGAAAGCACTGTTTCTTACTTCTCGTTCAACAACTGTATAGAATAAAAGAAAATAATAAGGCGAAACCAGTGATACACTATACTTGATTAATGTTCTTCCTTTTCCCGTCTTCTGTGCAACTTTTCTTTCAATTCCAAGTATAGAAAAAGAAAAATGAAAACGTTTCTGCGATGTTTGTTCTAGTCTCTGTTTCCAGCCAGACAACTATCAGGTCGCACGAACAAGCCCGCTTCTACATTCGGCTCGTTTCGAGTTGCCAAAGCTATTCCCAAAGTCAGTTTTTCGATATAAAGGATTATCACAAAAGCCAATGACAGACAGTTAACCAATCTTCAGATCTGTTTAGATGGAACTGATTTACAGATCAAGATACCGTTCTGAACTGCACTTACAAAACCTAAATTACGAATATGATTGATGTAAACGAAAAAACTACAAGTTTTTAGTACTGTGATAATTGTTAGGAAAGAATAAGAGTAGTAAGATGCATCCAAGTAACCAAAACACAGCTTCTCGATATTTACTTCACAAAATTTAATACAGCCAGTCGTTCACTACGGTGCGATGATATTTTGCTGATATTTCAGAAGCAGCAAGTACTGGAAGAATTGAATAGAAGTGTTTTTGAATTAAACAGTCTTTATAAACCATTAGTAATTAACCATCAACAATTAAGATTTATTATTACATTTTCTAAATTTCTTAGCCCTCTGTTTTCTTCGGTAGACGACACTCTTTGGCTGATCTTTTATTTCGATAGCTTACTTTCCAAGCATTTCAGAACAACCATATTATAAACATCAATTTTTAATAGCTATTATTTTGAAGAAATCTAAAACGAAATTTTTGATAAAAGTAATTATCAGTTACTGATATCGTCATGCAAAACTGTCAAAAACATTTTGCTCAATGCACTGACAAGGTAATTGATTTAAAACAGTTATGAATTTGCGTTTACTGTTTTAAAAAAAAAAACCACAATACGTCTGACACTAGTACGTAATTTTCCAAATTACAAGAATTTAAAAACACTGGATTTTAGACCGAAGAGCACATTAAACTCACGAAACAGGTTTTAATAAAAATCGGGCAATAAATATCATTTCAAATTTGTTGGTAAAACTGGATGATGCTGTAAATACTGTAAAAACAATTTTTCCCTTTTTTTTTTTACTAGTTATAGGTGTTTGTCTGTAAAAATGACAAAAGAAACTACAGAAATAAAAGAAACAGAAGATTCGGGTGATGATTTCCAGTCCTTAACTAGAATTATGCAAGCAGGTTTAGAACCCCAATCAAAAGTTATGCATCGTTTTTTGTTCTGGCATCTGTTCTAAAATTTTTTTTATTACTTTGAGAACAATTTGTATGCAAAATATGTACACAAAAGCATAAAGATTTATGTTTATTAAATAATCATTCATCTACTACAAATTCCACTGATAGAGTTGAAAGCTTTTGAGATATTTTAACAAATCCTAAATTTGGCACTATTAACAGCAATTTTCCATTGCCACTTTCTACCTTTTTGACTTTTCTGACCGTCTAACGGCATTGCCCTATAAAACATTTATTTCTTAAGCACGTTCAACTAAACTTAGTATGACCACCTCAATTTAACAATGGTCACATAATTTTAATTAAATTTCAGATCTGTTTTGGCCTTTAAATAATTATTAAATTGCCAAAGACAAGTGATGAGAAACTCATAATAATTAAAAATCTTAGAAGAAATATTTTAAAAATATCTTTTAAGGCTAGCAACTCCTAAAATGCAGTATTTTTTTTTCAATTCTGTCAAGTTTTTCTTGTTCGATTTTTTGTCAAGTTTTCAATCACTTCAAACTCTTAAATACTCAATCCAAGCAATAAAGTGATCCGCTTAAGATTTTGTAAACTTTATTTCTCAAATAAGCGTGCATAAAATTCTGAGAAAGCAGAAACGAGTGGTATTCTTGCGGTTTTACCAATTCTGCCCACTATGAGTTTCACCACAGTATGCAAAACAACATTCAAAGATCTAATTCTAAGTATATAACCCAAGAACTGCTTCTAAAGAAACGCTCTGGAAAAACAGGTCATATATATAGGAATTAATTGCAGGATGGCGTAAAGAACTTGTAGGTTAGATCTGAAGCAATTTTCGTTTAAAAGACAAGTTCAGGCTTTTTTTAGGCTCTAAATCCATTTTGCTTTCTTCTTCAAGATGCCCACCACAACAGCTGTTTAACACTTCTAAGGTTGGGGTCGCATTTGTACAATGCAAGCTTTATAAAAACCTTTTTAATACTCCAAATTATTCGAGAACTTCTTGTTTTCACTGACTGCTTTTGTACTTTTCGGCTAGGTTGCCCTTGGAAACTCTTCCCCATTGTATTGCACCTTCATTTAAACCAACTAAGTTAGCCATTCTTAAATACTGTCTTTAAGTTGTTATACTTCTGAGATATCTTTAAATAAAGGGCTCTGCCAGTATAGATGTGAAACACACTCTTTGTCGTCGCAAAAAGTCAAATTTCTATCTGCAATCAGAGTAACTTCTATCAGAAGAATCACTCTTCGTTTTGATTCGTTCGTCGTCAAAGTCTGTTTTTCGTCGTTAGCTCAAAGTCGTTAATTTCAGCAAATAAACAAGCATGGACATTACAGTCCTGTAAGGTCTTACCGTAGTAGCCGTGTAAACTCCAAAATCCTTCGAGACCTGTAGAGAAACAGCTACAATACGCAATTCGTGGCTCAAAAGTTTTCAGTTAATCGGAACAATAAGGCTTTGATCAAGTAAAGATACTTATCTTTAACAAAAGCTTCTATAAATAGAGTCTCTGTTCAAGATTAGAGCCTCCTACTTTTGAATTTTCATCCATGAGCACTTGTGCAGCGATTTAAAACTTTCTGCTCTTTAAATTTCAAGTCCCAAAATTTTTTAAAGTTGATGAAATCGGAGTAACTTCAATCAGATTCGTTAAGACATACTTTACCTTTAAAACGCAGCAAAATCTGAAAAATATAGCCATAAACTGTGAATCGACTAGCCACCTTTTAACTCAATAGTCCCAAAACAGTTCAAGCCTACGAAAACCAGTGCCATGAACAACCAGCCAGAAGCGACAATTCCTAAAAAAAAATCCTCCTATTCTCATTCAAAGCAGCACTTCCCTTTCGCCCTATCTCCTGCTATTTTTTGCAGTTGTTACTAGACAGCTCAAAACTAGTCCTTCAGAACGCGGTGAAGCGAAACACCGTTTTCAAGATAGGTCCAATTGACAACCAAGTACCAGGTACAGTTTCTTCTCGCTCAAGAAGAAAAACAGATATCCTGTTACACACCAATCATCATGATTTTCAAACTCATGTAATTGAGTGGCCAACTCACCTTTGAAATTATTCACTGCAGCTAGATTGGCACTACTTCATGGATCTTCGAAGAAAGCTTGAGTGGATTCAGCTTACAGCATCGTTTTCAAACTAGAAATTCGAACTTCACTAAAGAAGTGCCCGTCTTCAAATTGGCAAAGTCGATCCACAAAAATGCCTCATAAACGGCGAGTAAAATGTTACGGAGGAGCAAAATCGTGGAATCTGTGATTTCCTCAACCGAAACTGGCGTTGAATTTGGCGAGGACTATCGCAGAAATGAACAACGCTCATTACCACTTTGCATCTGCCACTTACATGCTAAAAACATTCAAATTTTCGTTGAATTACCTAAAGTAGTTTGCGAAGAAGTAGCTCCGACCTCAAAAGGAATAGTAGTCGCTACGGCTTGCAGGGTTTTTGGAATAATTCCATTTCTACGGCCTGCAGGACCGCTTCGCTTTGCCGCAATGTTAATGTATTCTCACCCTATACAACGGCGAATTGAGGTGCAGTATCGAAAGCAATCCCCCATGGACAACGTCATGTGCGGTGCTTCCCGACGAATTATGCTGAGTGTTTATTAAAGCTGTAAAAATTTCAAGTTGTAGCCGCTGCTCTTATTTTGCTGAGTGGTTCTTTTCAGTGTTGTGAGTGTATCACGAAACTAGTAAGTTATAACAAAGAAAGAATTAAGCACGATATTGCACTGCATTGATTGACCATTTTGGCGATGAAGTTCAGGCTTTGTTTTTGAGCTGTTAAAGCTGAAGGTGACGAATTTTAAGCAGTTATTTCAGTGCTGCAAACGATTCTATTGGTAACTTTCAATTTTGCACGTTAAATTCTCATACGCACTATTTCATTCCAGTGGTTACTGAGTTGGTTGCTGAGTTCCATTCAATAGTTTGGTTTGGCTTTGCTAGCTTGATGTAATTGTTTGCGGTTATACCTTGGACAACGAGGCTCGATGATTTAGATACTGTTTATGAGCAGTATTTTTATCAGTTATTTAGTGTTATTTTCCTTTAAAATTTGTAGGCTTTACAATTTGCTTGAAGTCATTATATTTTCGTTGGATGTGTACGTGAGATGCAGAACTATTGCACCTGCACCTATTTCTTTTATGTGCTGCTTTCAGGCGAATTTTGGTATTTCAATCTAATACCTCCCATTTATTCTTAAACGAATCTCTTTTCAGTGGCATTCAGGTGCTCACGATGCTCACACTGACCCGTCGATCGCTCCCACTTTGCGTTCGTTTAGCAAAGACTTCGGCTGCTTTACGGTCGGTAGTTTCGGTCGTGCCTGCACCACCTCAGTATGACCCAGTTGCGTAAGTGCTTCTAAACGTCTTTGATGCTTGACGTTGCGCAGTTAAAGAAATTAGTGAAGTGTTTCATAATGTAAAGTATTAGGGTATTTTGCTCTAGCGTAATACCCAAAAAATTCTGCCGTCAACTTACCTTTATCATTTAATACAGAGTTTTTGAATAAAGTGATCCACCAAAGCGATTTCAGAAATTCTATTTATGACTCTTTTATGAGGGTTTAGCTTCAAATCCTTTCTTCCAACGCACGCGTCTCCACACTCCTCTACCTCTGTCAATGAAATTTTATTTTACGTGGGTTTTGCAATTGAGGCTACAATTTTCCTTTAGGATCAAATGAGGTTTTGCAAGTCTTAGTTCTACCACCTTTCATTTGCTTTGTTTCGACTTTTATTTGTTGCTTTTTCGTTCTAAAGCGTACACGTAGAAAACAAGAAATGTTACTCTCTATGAATGATTCTCTGATTCTTATTGCAGTGGTGAATCAGTGATGGAAGTATACTGTCATTTTTTTCATCACAAGCGTAGTTTTTTCTTTAAAAGCAAGTGGAGAGTGACTTAACAGCATATAGTTGAACCAATGCAGATTCAAACTTAAAAACAGAATTTGCAAGAAGCATCATATACAGTTCGTGATGCCGTTGTAGCAAGTAGGAGACTGTAAGGGAATATAAGAAACAGGGGCTATAAAAAGTAGTTTTTAAAGTGGAGCATTATTGCATGAAATTTGCTGAGACTGCGCTGCTTAATTTTTGGTGACCTGATCACACTAAGTACAGCAAATGATGTTTCCCACAATAAAAGTGGAAATTTTATGGTAAGCATGTTAAGGCAAACCGACACTGGAACCTCAAGTCAGGAGACGGTCATTGATTAAGTTGCGGTTCTTTTTCTTGGTTTTCCGTTGTAAGATTTTAAGCGCATGAAAAACTTGGTTAAATCAGTCTCTTTTAAGATTGGTGACAGTTAAATATATTTAATTTAGTTTTGGCGATTTTTTAGTTCTCTCACGATGTGTTGAAGTTTTTTTTATAGCTGGTTCTTCAGGGCTCTGTTTAAATGA